CCCTGTGCTCTCCTGCTGAACCAAGCGAGGCCGGGCGCACACCCTCTTTCCACAAAGGGCCTGCCCGCCTCTGCAGCCACAATGCCCAGGACGCGAGGAGCCCCCTGTACCTTTCTCCTTCTTGGTCTGGGCTGGGGTGGGGGACCGCGAACTGGCTGAGGACACGGGGCTGGCCAGGTCTGCGTACATGTCGTCTGAGTCCACGCTGTGCACCGAGCTGCTACTCGACGTGGCGCTGGACACCGAGGAGACGCTGCTCACGCTCAGGGACCTGGACACACACAAGCACGTCTGCACCCCCGTGGCCGTGACCGCACGACGGCCGGGGGCGAGAGGCCACGGGGGGCCGGCAGCGGGTCTCCACGTCCACCTTCCCCAGTTTCTTTTTGAGGCACGTGTACCCACAAAACCTGAGACTTCAGGGGGTGCTCGGGTGGTTTAGAGGGGCCACACGGTGGAGGGACGCCCACGTCCCTGAGTCGAGGGCCCCTCGCACTAATGCTCAGCCGCCCTGTCTGCCGGGCAGGGTCGTCGAAGCAGGAGCTAGGCTGGCAACGGCAGAGCCGAGGGCCCAGGTACCGAGGCCCGAGGAAGGGGAGGGCTTTGACCTGCAGTCACACCGCACACCGGAGCAGGGGCCACCCCGGCCCAGCACGGGACTCAGGGAAGCACGGGACCAGTGGCCCGTCTCGCAGGCGCTGCTGCCCCCACGGCTCCCGCCACGAGGACTCCCCACGTGGCAGGCCGCGGAGTCCTGTCACTCTCAGAAAACACCGACCACTGCTTCCTAGGTCCTCACACCCCGAAACGATCAGGGGAGAGAGGGAGGACCCAGTTTTGCTTGAACACTGGGGCTTTAAACCTATTTTAGGAAGATGTGGGCAAAAGGATAAACCACCTGCTGCCTAGAAACGAAAGAGAAAGTTCGATCCAGGAACCCGAGCGCCGGTCTCACACGGTCTTCCCTCCAAACTGCTTAAGAGCAGAATTCTTTCCTACTCATTCTTTTCCCGGATTTGGTTACAGGCCGTCCGCCGAGTGCCTCAAGCGTGGGGTGGCGGGGAGGGCTCCGTGCTGGCCTCAGGCCTGCTGAGCACCTCCGCAGGCGTGGGGCTGCCGGCCAAGGTGCCTTGTCTTCTCGGTCCGCGTGCTGCCCCACAGCACCTCGGGGGGGG